AAGGGGCGAAGATGCAAATATTGTAAAAATTTGAATTATCACAACTTTCGGGCCGAAATGGTAAGGGCCAGGGTGGTTCAGCATTTTGGAGGAAAATATTATTTTTTTTGAATAGGTTAGTTTCCCCACAATGAATGTCCATACATGCCATTAGATGGATCCTGACCCCTAATCCCTTTGAAATGGGCGTAGGGGCAAATATTGTGATAATTTGAATAAACGCCAATTTCAGGCCGAAATGGTAAGGGCCGGGGTGGTTCAGCATTTTGGAGGAAAATATATATATTTTTTTTAATAGGCTAGTTTCCCCAAAATAAATGTACATACATGCCATTAGATGGATCCTGACCCCCATATCCCTTTGAAAGGGGCGTAGGGGCAAATATTGTAAAAATTTGAATTATCACAACTTTCGGGCCGAAATTAGAAGGTCCGAGGTGGTTAAGCATTTTGGAGGAAATTATGAATTTTTTTTAATAGGTTAGTTTCCTCACAATGAATGTACATACATGCCATTAGATGGATCCTGACCCCCATATCCCTTTGAAAGGGGCGAAGGGGCAAATATTGTAAAAATTTGAATTATCACAACTTTCGTGCCGAAATTGTAAGGGCCGGCCGGGGTGGTTCAGCATTTTGAAGGAAAATATTATATTATTTTTAATAGGCTAGTTTCCCCACAATGAATGTACATAAATGCCATTAGATGGATCTTAACCCCCATATCCCTTTGAAAGGGGCATAGGGGCAAATATTGTGATAATTTGAATAAACACCAATTTCAGGCCAAAATGGTAAGGGCCGAGGTGGTTCAGCATTTTGGAGGAAAATATTATATTTTGTGAATAGGCTAGTTTCCCCACAATGAATGTACATACATGCCATTAGGTTGATCCTGACTCCCATTTTCCTTTGAAAGGGGCGAAGATGCAAATATTGTAAAAATTTAAATTATCACAACTTTCGGACCGAAATGGTAAGGGCCGGGGTGGTTCAGCATTTTGGAGGAAAATATTATTTTTTTTGAATAGGTTAGTTTCCCTACAATGAATGTCCATACATGCCATTAGATGGATCCTGACCCCTAATCCCTTTGAAATGGGCGTAGGGGCAAATATTGTGATAATTTGAATAAACACCAATTTCAGGCCGAAATTGTAAGGGCCGGGGTGGTTCAGCATTTTGAAGGAAAAAATTAAATTTTTTGATTAGGCTAGTTACCCCACAATGAATGTCCATACATGCCATTAGGTTGATCCTGACTCCCATATCCCTTTGAAAGGGGCGTAGGGGCAAATATTGTGATAATTTGAATAAACACTACTTTCGGGCCGAAATTAGAAGGTCCGGGGTGGTTCAGCATTTTGGAGGAAAATATTATATTTTTTGAATAGGCTAGTTTCCCCACAATGAATTTACATACATGCCATTAGATGGATCTTGACCCCCATATCCCTTTGAAAGGGGCGTAGGGGCAAATATTGTGATAATTTGAATAAACACCAATTTCAGGCCGAAATGGTAAGGGCCGGGGTGGATCAGGATTTTGGAGGAAAATATTATATTTTTTTAATAGGCTAGTTTCCCCACAATGAATGTACATAAATGCCATTAGATGGATCCTGACCCCCATATCCCTTTGAAAGGGGCGTAGGGGCAAATATTGTGATAATTTGAATAAACACCAATTTCAGGCCGAAATGGTAAGGGCCGGGGTGGTTCAGCATTTTGGAGGAAAATATTATTTTTTTTGAATAGGTTAGTTTCCCCACAATGAATGTACATACATGCCATTAGATGGATCCTGACCCCTAATCCCTTTGAAAGGGGCGTAGGAGCAAATATTGTGATAATTTGAATAAACACCAATTTCAGGCCGAAATGGTAAGGGCCGGGGTGGTTCAGGATTTTGGAGGAAAATATTTTTTTTTTTAATAGGCTAGTTTCCCCATAATGAATGTACCTACATGCAGTTAAATCGATTCTGACCCCCATATCCCTTTGAAAGGGGCGTAGTGGCAAATATTGTAAAAATTTGAATTATCACAACTTTCGGGCCGAAATTAGAAGGTCCGGGGTGGTTCAACATTTTGGAGGAAAATATATATTTTTTTTAATAGGTTAATTCCCCACAATGAATGTCCATACATGCCATTAGATGGATCTTGACCCCCATATCCCTTTGATAGGGGCGTAGGGTCAAATATTGTGATAATTTGAATAAACACCAATTTCAGGCCGAAATGGTAAGGGCCGGGGTGGTTCAGGATTTTGGAGGAAATATATTTTTATGCCTCCGCCACCGAAGGTGGTGCCGGAGGCATCATGTTTTTCGGGTTGTCCGTCCGTACGTCCGTAACGTTTGACCGTTATCACAATATCTCAAAAACCATTTAAGATTTAAACTTAAGACTCGGGAATAGTATTTATCACCATAGGAAGACGATCTGATTAGATTTTGGAGTACGTAGGTCAAAGGTCACAGGTCACAGAGGTCAACTTATGAAATTCCTTATATTGAGTTTGTTAGCGCGATATCTCAAGAACCATTTGAGATTTAAACTTAAAACTTAAGGATAGTATGTATCACCATAGGAAGACGATCTGATTAGATTTTGGAGCACGTATGTCAAAGGTCAAGGGTCTCAGAGGTCAACTTATGAAATTCCATACATTGAGATTGTTATCATGATATCTCAAGAACCACTGGAGATTTAATCTTCAAACTTAGTGATAGTGTGTATCACTATAGGAAAACAATCTGATTACATTTTGGAGCACGTAGGTCAAAGGTCAAAGGTCACAGGGCTCATTATGTATGCAAAAACAGCTTGTGATCGCGTTATCTGAACAACCGATTGATGGATTCCTGCCAAACTTTGGTCATGTATGTATCTTGCAGAGCTGATGAACTGATTAGATTTTGGGGTCACGAGGCCAAAGGTCAAAGGTCACAGGGCTCATTATGTATGCAAAAACAGCTTGTGATCGCGTTATCTGAACAACCGATTGATGGATTCCTGCCAAACTTTGGTCATGTATGTATCTTGCAAATCCAATGAACTGATTAGATTTTGGGGTCACGAGGTCAAAGGTCACAGCGCACATTATGTATGCAAAAACAGCTCGTGATCGCGTTATCTGAACAACCGATTGATGGACTCCTGCCAAACTTTGGTCATGTATGTTACTTGCAGAGCTGATGAACTGATTAGATTTTGGGGTCATGAGGTAAAGGTCAAGGTCATGCGGCTCATTATGTATGCAAAAATAGCTTGTGATCGTATTATCATTAGAACAGATTGATGGATTCCTGCCAAACTTAGATCATTTATGTATCTTGCAGAGCCAATGAATGGTTCATAAGATCAAAGGTCATGGGCTCATTGTATGCAAAAATAGCTTGTGGATGCATTCTCATTAGAACTGACAGATGGATTACTATTTAACTCAGGAAATCTTGCAGAGCCAATAAACTGAGTAGATTTTAGGGTCATGAGGTCAAAGATCAAAGGGTCATATATGTTTATGAGAAATTGCTTGTAATCACGATATTCTGAGAACATGTTAATGGATTACAATTGAACTTGAATTTGAAAAATTTCTTCCGTTTCGGTTTGTAAAATTGCTCTATGACGGAGGCATCATTTTCGACTGCGCGCAGTCGAATTCCATCTAGTTTTTAATAGGTTAATTCCCCACAATGAATGTACATACATGCCATTAGATGGATCTTGACCCCCATATCCCTTTGATAGGGGCGTAGGGTCAAATATTGTGATAATTTGAATAAACACCAATTTCAGGCCGAAATGGTAAGGGCCGGGGTGGTTCAGGATTTTGGAGGAAAATATATTTTTATGCCTCCGCCACCAAAGGTGGTGCCGGAGGCATCATGTTTTCGGGTTGTCCGTCTGTACGTCCGTCCCGTTTGACCGTTATCACAATATCTCAAGAACCATTTAAGATTTAAACTTAAGACTCGGGAATAGTATTTATCACCATAGGAAGACGATCTGATTAGATTTTGGAGTACGTAGGTCAAAGGTCACAGGTCACAGAGGTCAACTTATGAAATTCCTTGTATTGAGTTTGGTAGCGCGATATCTCAAGAACCATTTGAGATTTAAACTTAAAACTTAAGGATAGTATGTATCACCATAGGAAGACGATCTGATTAGATTTTGGAGCACGTATGTCAAAGGTCAAGGGTCACAGAGGTCAACTTATGAAATTCCATACATTGAGATTGTTATCATGATATCTCAAGAACCACTGGAGATTTAAACTTCAAACTTAGTGATAGTGTGTATCACTATAGGAAAACAATCTGATCACATTTTGGAGCACGTAGGTCAAAGGTCAAGGGTCATAGAGGTCAACTTATGAAATTCCATACATTGAGATTGTTATCATGATATCTCAAGAACCACTGGAGATGTAAAAACTTCAAACTTAAGGATAGTATGTATCACCATAGGAAGACGATCTGATTAGATTTTGGAGCACGTAGGTCAAAGGTCAAGGGTCACAGAGGTCAACTTATGAAATTCCATACATTGAGATTGTTATCATAATATCTCAAGAACCACTGACGATTTAAACTTCAAACTTAATGATAGTGTGTATCACCATAGGAAGACAATCTGATTAGATTTTGGAGCACGTAGGTCAAAGGTCAAGGGTCACAGAGGTCAACTTATGAAATTCCATACATTGAGATTGTTATCATGATATCTCAAGAACCACTGGAGATTTAAACTCCAAACTTGTTTAAATTGCTCTATGGCGGAGGCATCATTTTCGACTGCGCGCAGTCAAAATTCCATCTAGTTTTATTTGGACATTGCAGTTCAGTGTACGTTTACTGTCTGTTGTCATCTCTCTCTCTCTCTCTCTCTCTCTCCTTCTTTCTTTCTCTTCTTCCTTTCTCTTCTTCCAACTCTTTCTTTCTTTCTCTCCAACTCTCACTTTCTTTCTCTCTTTCTCTGCCTCCACTTTCACTCTCTCATCCAATCGGTATGTACCTGTATCTTCTGTGACATCACAACATTCGCTCTCCCTCTCGCTCTTCCTCAAACTCTTTGCTCTCTCTCTTCCTCTCTCACTCTATCTCTCACTCTTTCTCTCTTGTCCAATCTCAATATGTTGTGATGTCATATGGACCTCCCAAGCATAATATATCCCCGTACTATTATCTTTATCTCCCTTTTCTGAAGTGATGCAAAGTCTCCTCGGAATGAAATTCTTCACAACATCGAGCCGGTCTTCAACTACTCGGCCATCAGAATAGGCGACTATAAACTACACTACGGCGCTCTCTCTGCGCATTACTCCGGATGGTATCCACCAGAAGGTATACACATTTTTTTTAATGATTCACTTATTTATTGATATCAATACAACACGATCGCATAGACTTCTAAGATGTCAACACCAACAGAAATCAGGGTCATTATTTCTTCATACTCACAGGATAAAAGCAAGCACTTACTGTGATCGCCCTTCACTTGCATATATATCTTAAAATATAATTCTTGGTAGTGTGTTATCAGTCATCATTTCTACTATTATTATATTGTGTACACGTTTACAAAATTTGTTATATTTTGTATATGTTGTATTGCTGCAATGTTATCTGATTAGTATGTTGCAGAAGAAAATAAATAAAATTCGATTCAATTCAATACAATTAATCCATAGAATGCCAGGAAAAGTCACTTCAGGTTCATTGCATACCTTTTTTTAGCAGCTGATTGATACAATTACCAGTATATATTTATTTTTTATCAAAATACCACTATTTTTCTGTGGTTTGCTAAATCAAATCACTAATTTGGGGTTAATTTTACCAAGGGGCTGCAGCCCTAACTCTGTTTAGCTTAAATATCAACATCTCATGTTTTTATTTGTGTAGGAGAGACTTTTAACGAGACAAAGCGAGTTCCAAACGCCTTTGTGGTGAGCTGTCCTTCTAAGCAGACTAACGCCTCCACCAACTGCGACTATGAGAATCACCAGCCTTGTCTCTATAACATCAGGGAGGATCCCTGTGAATTCAACAATATAGCAGACTGGAACCAAGGTGAATATATGATGATGATGATGATGATGATGATGATGATGATGATGATGATGATGGTGGTGATGGTGGTGGTGGTGGTGGTGGTGATGATGATGATGATGATGATGATGATGGTGTTGGTGGTGGTGTTGATGATGATGATGATGATGATGGTGGTGATGATGATGATGATGGTGATGATGATGATGATGGTGGTGGTGATGATGGTGGTGATGATGATGGTGGTGGTGATGATGATGATGATGATGATGATGGTGGTGGTGGTGATGATGATGATGATGATGATGATGATGGTGGTGATGATGATGATGATGGTGATGATGATGATGATGGTGGTGGTGATGATGGTGGTGATGATGATGGTGGTGGTGATGATGGTGATGATGATGGTGATGATGATGATGATGATAATGGTGGTGGTGGTGATGATGATGATGATGATGATGGTGATGGTGGTGGTGGTGGTGGTGGTGGTGGTGGTGGTGGTGATGATGATGATGATGATGATGATGATGGTGATGGTGGTGGTGATGATGATGATGATGATGTTGATGTTGATGGTGGTGGTGATGATGATGATGATGATGTTGATGTTGATGGTGGTGGTGGTGGTGATGATGATGGTGGTGATGATGATGATGATGATGACGATGATGGTGATGATGATGATGATGATGATGCTACCGATCATAAAAACAATGTTAATTGACTTAACAAAACAAAATTACTGGTAGGAGGAATTAAACACAACATTAGTGCTAGTCCAGAATCTGGCCTATGTAATTTTGATCTCCACCAGTACCAACGCTACCTCTCCCTACTTACTTGCTACCAGCCGATGGTGGCGTGATCATTAAATTAGGACGCCCTGCTGGGCTGGTGAGCATAATTATGAGTTTGTTGATACCGCCATCTTCGACGGCTTGAATCAAGTGTGTAGGGAATTATAAAGGACTGGGCAGATTCTGGACTACATTAGTGCTTGTGCAGATGTCTCTATAAATGAACAAAGCCAGCTTTCCACAGACATTAACCAATCCAAATTTGGATTTAATGAAAATTATTTGTTTTAATGACATTCAAGATATCAATTTTAGAATACCACCCCAGAGCAAATATCAGATACCTGAAGTTCATTATCATATCTCTTATTGTTTTCCTTCTCAGCCATTGTTGATATAATGACGCTAAGACTTGAGCTGTACCCCCAAACATTTTTGATTTGTAATGAAAATTATTATTTGTTTTGCTGACATTAAAGATATCAATTTTAGAATACCATCCTAGAGCAATTATCAGATCCCCATAATATCATCGTGATATCTCTTATTGTTTTCCTCCTCAGCTATTGTTGATATAATGACGCTAAGACTTGAGCTGTACCGTCAAACAGCAGTGGAGCCCAGGAACCAGGCAGGAGATCCGCAGAGCAACCCAAAACTACATGGAAATGCTTGGGTACCCTGGATCACTCCTTAGCATATCAGCATATCGAGAAGAAATATACTCCGAACAAAATTGTTGATCAGAATACTGCCCTCATGTTTGCAATCTGACAAGGAATAGCTGAAAAGTTTGGATGAAATGATCTACCCTGGGTCACTCCATAGCATATTGAGTAGAAATATACTCTGAAAAGAATTGCTCATCAAAATACTGCCCTCATGTTTGCAATCTGACAAGAAATACCGGTAGCTGAAAAGTTTGAGTGAAATGATCGTAAATGTTTTGCTTCTCCTTTTTTTAATGACGATGAGACTGGAGCACTACCGCTGAACAGCAGTAGAACCACAGAAGTGGGTCACTATAAGCCAGTACATATACTTCTGTGAAACCTGTCTATAAAGACCACTCAAAGGAGACAAGAAAAGTGGTCTTTTTAGGCAGGTGGTCTTTATTACAGGTTTCTTTAGTACAGGTTACAACGAGAAACCATATTCAAGGGAAACAAAAAATGTGGTCTTTGTAAACGGGTGGTTGTTCTATACAGGTGGTCACTAAAGCAGGTTTTACTGTGTCTGTGTATGGGGCAGATGAAGGTCATTTTACACCAAGCTTGTCAAACCCACCGAGACAAACACTGGATAAATGCTCATGAAAGTTATGTATTCATTATTCATTTATGCCCCGACGGTGCTGTCCATCATACACAGGTGGAAGTATTCTTTTTAAAAGGGTAAACCAAAAGTATTCATGAAGCACCTCCATCACTTGGAGTATTCTAAAATGCACCAAGTGGGACGTCTCTTTGTGTAAAAGATCCTTGGATACAAAACGAAAAGATCTGTGGATATATATTTGGGGTCATTTGTGCTATATGCTATTGGATAGAATACAATATTGTCTTATGCATGTATATCTTTTGATACAAAGAGAACAACATGAGACTACATTCAAAACATTTCTTTCAAATTTCCTTTTTGCTTCCAAAACATGAGCGTGAAATTTATTCAACATAAACATGTTGGTCATTCCATTATCTTGTCAGGAAACATTATATATATATATATACATGTATAGTTTTATATGAAGAATGAAGAGGCTTGTGAAGTAGGCAGGCTAACCACTCTAATAATAGTGTACTATATAAACTTTTCTATGTTGTTATCAGTTTTTCCTCAAATTTTCACTGTTCTGTTGCCCTTGCATTTTCTCCCATTTTTATTTGAGTGGACGCTAACTTTCATAGGAGGAAAGTTGTTTTTCTACATCATAATTTGTAGGTTTATTTAGTGTAATTGTTTTGTTAAATATTTAATTGTTTATCATTGTATTTTGTTTGTTAAAGGGCTTAGAGACTTAGTTGGTAAGAGCTCTAGAAGCACCGTTTTTATTATTTTTATTATCATGAACTTCCTGATAAAAATCAGGTAGATGTATGTGTATTATGTACCGTCTGTATGCAATTTTATTTTGTGCTTTGAGACCAACTTTCTCTGTCTGTTTTGATCATTGATGAAAGACTATCAAATTAAAGCAAGAATTTTTTCATTTTATAAATGACATTGTAAATTCATGCAAAATTATGTTTGCACAGTATGCATGAAATTTATATTTGTGTACATATTTTGTGTACATTTGTTTATTTCATATTTCACATCATCAATTTTGTTTACAAGACATATGATTATGATAATACAAAAGTATTTTGAATAAAAAAAAGTACATAAAATGTATTCAATCACTTAGGTTTCCGTGTAGTTTTTGTGAATTAAAGTAAAATCCAACTTTATCAGACAACTACGTGTACGAAAGAAAGCTGAAAAATCTGAGAAGCAGACTGGTGAAAGTGTGAATGCAATCGGACAAACAATAAGACAGTTCAGAATGTTGATAGTTGTAATCCCTATACGTATGGGCACTTCAAATTGGACCAATCGGTCATGTCACTGACTTTTTTTCCCTGTATTTTTTTAAAAACACAAAATGACAAAAATGTCAAGACGATATAAAATACAGTATAACCTGTCTACTAAGGCCACCCAAGGGAAACAGGAAGGGGTCTTTCTAGACAGTTCTACAACACACCATTCAGAGAGGGGGACAGATGGTCTTTATAGAGAGGTTAGCCACCAAGACAGGCTTTACTGCACAGTAGAAACCAACACATAAACATTTTTAGTCTGGATTTTTAATTTGTATAATCTTGTTTATTTACTCTATTTATTGATTAATTTATTTCATTTTTCTATCTATTTACTTATTTATTTACTATTTTATTCAATTGTTATAATTTCTTTTTTGCCCAGGAACTTATATGTAAAATTGTAACTTAAGCCCTAAACAATAATTTCAAAAAAGGGTGACTATCTGCTTCATCACAACTTTTACCAGAATTTTTTTTTTAATAGATGCAAAGCTACCGGTATTGTGAATAATACTGGAGGAGTAGTAAATTTGAAACCTCATGTTTAATTGATTTGCTGGGCAATGGGCAAAATGTGAAGAAAAAAAACTTTGATGTGAAACCACGTTACCTTAAAATACACAAACACAGAAACGCACATACGTGACAATGTATCAGGTTTCAGTTCAATGAGACTTTTATTATCAGCTTTCATATACATTTCATTGCGTATCAAAATTGTTCAAAATATTTTACTTTTTCCTTTTTCAATACAGATATTATTCTTGTTTTATAACAACTTTCCTTATCAATACCAAAACTTCCAAGCACCCTTAATACATGTACTAAGATAATTGAAAAGTAATTCAGAAATGTTACCTTACAGTTAAAATTGGCAACGCATATTTCATATGCCATAGTAGACAATTTGATGTTTGTTGCCAACACATTGGGTTAAGCATTTCTTATTATGCAAAGTTGTACCAGACAAAATATAAAGGTTTTTTTTTTTCTTTCTTTTTTTCTCTTTTATTTGAAGTCATTTTGGACCGTGACTGTTCAGCAAGATACATCTATGTATTGTATCAGACAGAAAATAAAGGAGATTTCTAAATTTCGTTTGAAATCTTTTGGGACGCTATTCATTTTTTGCGGTCAATTCACTAAACTTCCAATTACCTGTAGTTGGTATAACACAAATATTCATGCACATTTCCTCAGGAATATAATGGAACACAAAAAACAAGATCGCAACTATTTTTTAGAAGAAAAAAATCAACTTGATACTCTGGAAGTTGCTTCTTGAATCGACTTCAAAAAATGAATAGCATACCAAAAACAATTAAAAAAAATAAAAAAATACTCCATTATTTTCTGTCTGATACAAAATATATTTTGCAGAATAGCATCCCAACAGACTCCAAATGAAATTTAGAAATCTCCTTTATTTTCAATGGTACGTTTCAGAGACATGATGTTTCAATCGTGACGCGCAAGGCTACTGAAATTGCTGTAGGTTGATTTTTCTAAAGTAGCTGCTTTTGTGTTAAAATTATGTGTGGCGATGTGCTCATCACGATAATAATATTCTGGGTATATATATATGTAGCACTAAATATTTAATGCATCTATCGTGCCTCCGAGTACTTGACAGAAATATATTATTACCGGTACCAATGGATTGGCTCGCTTGCACACAATGTATGTACATTCCCCACTCCCAGGGGAGCATTCCAGCCATGCCAGGTACCATTTTACAGACACTCACAATGCTGAGCAAACTACAATGACATTCGTTTCTCACCGGATACCCACCAACACGTGAGCTAGCTATAAAATTTGGGTTTCAAATTTTTGCTTCTTAGAAATAGAATGAGAATATGCACAGTGAAGTCTATTCCCGTGGTGACATATTTCATGCCTAAATCGAAAAGGGTACACAGAACAAGCACAAACAAACTCATGCATGTGAACATAAGAAATGGTTGAGTTATCCCTAAGACATTGGCTCTGTGTCGTGAAATTTGTTAATAAAAACAAGATGATAACAACAACAATGATGTGGGATTTTTTTATAGAACTCATTTTTCCATGGAAGTTGCTCTAATAATCATTACCCGGCATTAGCTGAACCGCTGCTTTCGAGAAATTTTTCAAAGATTTAGTTGAAGTTGTAGTTGGTAGTGATAACAATTTTTAAGAATTGAGAGTCCAATCTAAACATTTTGGGGGAGGGGAGCTAAAGATTTTAGAAAATACTTGTAATTATCACTATTATTAGTATTATTATTATTAATAATATCATCATTATCATTATTATTATTATCATCATTATCATTATCATTATTATCATCATTATCATTATTATTCTAATCATCATTATCACTATTATTAATCTTATTTATTCTGCAAAACATCAGTAAGTTTTGAAGTGATTGATTTGATTTTTATATTAATATATTTGCTGGGGGTTTCTAAATTCATGAGAGATACTTCAAGGTAACATACCTCTATAAAACACCATCGCTAAAACTTTCCAAAATAAACACTAGGGCAATTTCAAATCCCTGTTGAACATCCAATATAAATCTTGTAGGGTTATAGGTACTAGGTCATTGTTTGCACGTTTGAATAGGTGACGGACGAAGCTATCGGAAGTGGCTTGGACTGATTTTTCGAAAGTCTTTGTGATCGCGCTACAAGAAAACTACAAGTAAACAATCCATATGCATGCTTGTATATCACCTGTTTGGAGCCAGAAGGGCGTTAACTCACACATAGTTTAACACAGTGTTAATTTCCTTCTGCCTCCGTAACGTACAATGTTTTCCCTGAAATCCACAACAGAGCATGTACCTGAGATAAATAACAACTTAATAATAAATTTCACATACAGAGAAACCTCATTATAAAGGGGTCTGATATAACGAGGTATCTGTTATAACAAGGTGAATTTGCTGGTCCCAGCTCTTTATTTTCTAATGGTTTTTCACCCTGATATAACAAGATTCCTGATATAACAAGGTAATTTCCTCAGCCCCAAGGACCTCGTTATAATGAGTTTCCACTGTAAAATCTTCACAAAATACAGGTAACAGCGCCAATATAGGAGTACCCATAAAGTGCCTTTGCCTTCTCTGTACATTTCAAGACCCAACACACAAGATATATTTGTCAAATCCCTGCAACCATTTCCAATACATCAGGGCCCCATTTCACAAAACTTATCATCAGTGACAAATGACAGTTTTTTGTTATAAGCTAGTGAAATCCTTGCTTCTGATTGGTCATCAGCAGATTTGTCACTGTATTTTGTCATTTGTCATTGAAAAAAGGCTTTGCGAAACAGGTCCCAGTACAAGATATCACATCATATTCAAATCCCTACATACCATCCAAACACATGAATACACTCTATAACAACATACATTATTTTACACTGACAAATATTTGGCTTAATAGCATTTTGTAGTCTGTCTAAATAAAACTACTACTAGTTTCACACAAAGAAACATAACTGTATTGTAAATTATTTTCCCCTTAGTCCTGCTACTACATAGAATCAGGTGTAATTGTAGAACTGCTTTATGTTGTCCCATGTATTCAATCTGATGTAGCACGTGCTAATAAGCTTTTGGATTCCTCTGCATCTTCTACACAAGGATCTGCATTTGGTTTTTGCACTTCCATATTAAAGCAACTCCTAGCTTTACACTAGTTAATATGAATTTATTTGAATGGTAGCAAGATATATATATATATATATATATCATATATAAGCAGGTGTAATGTGCAAAACCATTCTGCATAGTCCCATGCAGTATATCTGATGTAACATTTTGAGGGTTCAGTGACACAAAGACGTAACTTCATATTTTACAAAAATGAGTATTTGATATCAAAATGTGGGCTTTCCAGGAAACACAAAGACTTATCTCCACCCAACACCCCATTGAAGTCAATGGCTAGTGAAACATAGACTTAACTCCTTTAGGCCCAAGTGCTCAGTGACACATCAACCACTTTTTCTAAAAATGGCCAAAGTAGAGTCTCGTCTCTGTTTCACTAACCCCTCGATTTGATAGTTGAGTGTTAATTCCTGAACACCTCCCAAACCATAGGGTTACATCCCCCTTACATGAATTAGAATCGCATCACATCTATCTTTTGTTTTTATTATGCTCATTTATTCTTCATTTTCTTTCTCTATTGCCATTGTAATTTTCCCCATTACTATTTACATTCCCCATAAATAATCTCACTATTCCAGCACTGCATTTATCATATTGATAGATGTTGTGTTTTATTTTATTTTCATTTGTTTATTTATTTATACATTCCATCATTTTTTGTGGACAAAAAATATACAATGTTTGGCGAGAATAATTCCTTAAAAAGCTGATCTGAATTGAAATGTTAAAGATAACCCTCCATGTATAAAGGACTTGTCATATATCACAGATACAGTATGAAAATCAGTTTATGTAGACAAATCATAGGATTTTGATAATGCTTATGGGACTTCGGCACCGATTTTCTTGCATCCAATACTTATTTTATATAGACTGATTTTATTGTATGGCTACAGTTGCTAACTGATAGAGATGATATGACCAACCCATTACATCACACAACATAGTCTTGAGATTCCTCACATTATTATTGATCTTTCAAAATTACCATAACATGCATACTTTTCTGCTTCTCCCCATGCCAATCATTTATGATGTGTTGAATACCTTTTAATGTCTACCTGCAAATTGGCAACTGATATACCAAAGATTATATAACTGTTTCCAGTGAACGATTAATCTATACCATTGTTACAGGAGTTGTCAGAGAAATCATCGAGAATGGAAATGGGTAACTTCGCAAGCAATTGTGTTGCACAAAGCAATAACAGACGTGTATCAATCAGATATGATTATTTACGTCTGGGGACCAACCATTAAAGGGAGTGTGTCATGACAAGACTATGTGTCTTTCCCGTGGCCCTACTCGGGCCAATTGGGTATAATACGACTATGGACGACGCGACCGCAGTATTCACGTGTATGCAACATATGCGAAACAGAAGCGTGAGGAGATATTCGCGAACGCTAAGGGGCGCTGATCCAGTTAATTAAGTCCATTCGTTTACGTGCAGTTGTCCAAAAGAAGACGTAGATGACGTTAACAAGTATTTCCCATGAAACACTCCCTTTAACATCACCATACGAAAGACGTGACTCAGTTTCAAACCGGGGTCGTCTCAGCCAGTTTGTAGGCGTAGACAGAGAGCTGACCAAGTGAACGTGTCGTTAGACCAACTAACATCTCCCTCAAATGGTGTCTATTCTTTTGTGCAAAAAGACATAGGTGGCAAACGAGCGACTTGTGCAGAAAGGTGAAGAAAGCAACCGCAGAGTTAATGGAAAGATGACTCATCTTTGATGAAGAGGCACATCAGGGGGGGCGTTTCACAAAACTTGTCATCAGTGACCAATGACAGTTTTTGTTATAAGCTACTGAAATCCTTGATTCTGATTGGTTATCAGCAGATTTGTCACTGATTTTTGTCATTGAAGAAATGCTTTGTGAAACAGGTCCCAGTAATTATTTTTTTTTTTTTTTTGCTTCATACAGTCTACTAAAATGCAATCTGTATTCACTAATGACAAAACAAACACATCACAACTACATAGTCCCATACATCCCTTTTGGCGTCCATTACAAATATAATCTGCATTAATATTGCTTAGACACCTGCTATCAGTCCCACGACTTTAGATCGGTGTTAGTGACAAATATAATCTTCATCCATATTGCGAAGCACCAGATAATATTTCCATGAATTTACATCGACGTTGGTTTTGGGCAGGTTGATGTCCGATTTTCTCGTCTATTCAATCCTCACCTCCACTCTACAAATTGGACACACCGGATCCTGATTTTTCTGTAGGAGCAGATGGACAGGAATTAATGATTAACATGTATCAGAGATATGGGAGATAAATAAGCTTAGGAAGTCCATAATATTTTTCCTTATCTCAACAGACCACTGTTCCTCTCTCTTATCTCTGTCATCTTCCCCACAACTGGTACCTTTTCATTTCTATTTTTCTGTCTTTGATATTGTTATTGATAATGGCCGAATTGGACAATGTTTTACAAATGTAAAATACGATATTTAAAAACATTCATAGCAAATGACATCAAAATAAATGATCGGAAAATTAATGAGTAAATTGTATAAGATAATACTTTCAAATTCTTATTTGATCTCCCTAAAACATCTTAACTTATAATTGGAAATATTTGTTTAAGTCTTGATCAATCTGAAGTGTAATATGTTGCATAATTCTTATTCATTCTAATCATAGTTTTTGTTGCTTTTTAATTATGGTGAATGTATTGTCTATAATTTTGGAAAAAACAACTGTAATCTTTGTATGCATCAGTCTTTGGACTGTTATTACTTTTAGGCTTGAGTCGGTACGGTCGATCACACCGGGACCCGACCGTTGCCGTCGGGTCCCGGTTTCGTTTCTTGAGAACCGGCGCTCCGAAAAAAATAATGAAATATGTAAGAAATTGCAGTTTTGCACACCACTAAAATCAATCCACCCTAAAACTTAAGTATTTAATTGTTACCAATCGTATTCTAGCTCATCCAGAATCAATCCGAACTGCTGATATAAATATGGGTTGAAAAGCAGTTCGCCCCATGGGGTTGTTGTTGCCAGCTGCTAGCTAGCTACTGTACTGGCCGGGTCTCTCGGCAGAATTAATAAATCCGGTTGAAAGAAACATTAATGTTTGAATAATAAAACGACTTTCTAAAAAGTACTTCTTTACAACATACCGATCGAATAATTTTTAAAAGACAAAATATATATTTTTTCTTTGATTTTGAACACCGCATGCTTCTTTTAAAAGCTGAAAATGACTTGGTAATCACAAGAAGTTTCGATACGGATAGCTGTTGCAATGCAAGTTCAGACTAGTCTCGGAAAAATGCGCAGTGCTCCTTGTTAGCTATAATGCGTGCCAGAACGAACCCAAACAAAGACGTGGTCGTATCGAGAAAAAAATCATTAAAAACTACGAGAGCACAATTGGAAAGACAACTACTCAAAATTATCGTAAGCAGATACATAACTTGGAGGAAGAATACAATAGTTGTCCAAGAAAAGCCACATAAATAGTGATATTTAATGAGTTACTATAGGTACAATCATTATCGGAAGGGCCTGCTGCAATATATCTAAACCTGTTTAAATTGAACACGAGGCAAATACCGCCCTCTACGGTAAAAAGCAGTATAACAAAGGATTTGAGTATTTGCAGCAGGCCCCTTGCGATAAAAATGTACCCAGTTACTCCTCGATTATCACAATTTCTGTGGCATTTCTTGGGCGATTATTGAATTCTTTGTCAAAGTTATGTATCTGATTATGGTAATTTTGAGCAGTATATCTTTCCAATTGTGCTTTCGTAGTTTTTAATGATTTTTTTCTCGTTACGATCACGTCTTTGTTTGGGTTCGTTCTGGCACGCATTACAGATAACGAGGAGCACTGCGCCTTTTTCCGAGACTAGTCTGAACTTGCCTTGCAACAGCTATTCGTATCGAAACTTCTTGTGATTACCAAGTAATTTTCAGCTTTTAAAAAAAAGCATGCGATGTTTAAAATAAGAGATAAATATTTATTTTTGTCTTTAAAATATAATATGATCGGTATATTGTATAGGAGAATTTTTTAGAAAGCTGTTTTATTATTCTAACATTCATATTTTTTGACCAGATTTATTCAACCTGCATATATCAAAATGGCGGCTCGATTGTAGTCTTTATATTTTTGCTCGAGTTTTTTTACTTTTAGAGGCACGATAATGGCACTAAACATCGCCAATCATGGATGAATATAATGTCAAATGGAAGAATATACCAATCTGTGCCGAGGTATGCATGTGTTGATTTATTTGACTGATAAAAATGTCACTTTTAAGGGACATACTGATGATATGCGCTTTTTATAGAGGCAAGTGACAAATCCTGCGAGCTGATTTCGGGACACCGGGTCCCGACCGGTGCAAGGCCGTCGGGACCCGGTTTATGAAAATCCCGACATGACTCAGGCCTAATTACTTTCTAAATTTGTTTCAACAGATTTTTCTGTCAATAAGCCAAAATGAATGAGTAAATCTTTGCCTAACTCTATGTATAAGCATATAAATAAGGCACTGAATTAATGATTATATAGTAAGACTTGATTCTATGCTTCATAGCCAGAAACTTTTTAAAGAGGTCTGAATTCTAAAAGTTTTGTTTCCATAAAAATTTCCATTTTTCCCCAATCTCCAGACTTTTCTTTTTTCTTGTTTACTTTAACTTTATAGTTCATGTTATATAAATGTAATAAAGTAGAGTACCAAAAATTCTTGCCAAAGACAGGGAAGCAGACTCGACTAGCACTTGTGCTAACTTCTGGTACCCCTTTAACGACAAAAGTGTACACATAATCTTTTCTTTCATTTGTATATAACATGCTTTGTTAAACAATGTTTATCTTATTCATGTGTAATGTTATTTATCTTGTGTTATATTGTTATATTGAATGTAAACATGATTGATACCTTATGTTTACTTGTTCTTGTTGATGTTGTTAATAAACTCAAACTCAGACTCAAACTCAAGACTCAAACTCAAACTTACATTTAACCACATATCAATGCACTTCTTGTGGTAGACATGGAAACAGGGCAGTCTACGAAGCTCGGCCTCCTCGTCGTAATCATCCATACAGACCGGACAGGCGTTCTCCTCCTGCGAACCTGAGTGCCGCTCCTTGGAGAACTTGAAGGTTGGAAGGCGGTCAATAGATGCCTGGGTGAGCCGCTTATCAACGGCCGGTCCAAGACTGTCCGCAAGCTGGAGAAGAGCCTGTTGTATGGTGAAAATGTTTATAAGAGATTATTTGATAATAACCAGTATTGTTGAAATAAGATAATAGGACAGATATATACTATGAAACTTCAGAACTATTCTTTCGAGAAATTAAAGGTTAAAAGGCGGTCGATAGATGCCTGGGTGAGCCGCTTATCAACGGCTGGTCCCAGACTGTCCGTAAGCTGGAGCAGAACCTGTTGTATGGTGAAAATGTTGAGTAGAGATTATTTGACAACAGGTATTGTTGAAATAAGATAGTGGGAAAGGTATATACTATGAAACTTCAGAACTATTCTTTTGAAAACTTGAAGGTTGGGAGGTGGTCAATAGACGCCTGGGTGAGCCGCTTATCAACAGCCGGTCCCAGACTGTCTGCAAGCTGGAGGAGCGCCTGTATTTACGACAAAAATATAAAATAATACAAAGTTTAAAGACTACAATCACTAGTGGCGATGAAGGGATGTAGGATGTGCTATGAGGAAATAGATATGCTTTGAAACTCCAGAACTGTTCTTTGGAGAACTTGAAGGTTGGGAGGCGGTTTGTACAAGGCTTGGAGAGCCGCTTGTCCAGGGTTGGTCGTAAACTATCGGCAGGATGAGGAAGGGCTGGTTGTAGGGTAAAAAGGTGAAAAAATAAGCCAGATAGTACTGTAACATTAGATAATAATCAACATAAGTTTGTTTTACCGATATGTCACAACATGTACTTTGTTTAAATCTCTTGTTTTGTTCTTGCTTAAAAAATTTTTTGAACCCCCCCCCCCCCCCCAAAAAAAAAAAAAAAAAAAAAACACAATGTTGTTTACATAGGGTAGCTTCATCAGCTTCAATGACGGTCTTCCAGAGGGCCAACAAATTCCCAAGGACCAATTTAAACCTGGGTGGAGAGTGGCAAAATTGGATAAGCGCCTTGCCAAAGGACGTTAGTGAGGGGCTGGGATTTGAACCCTCATCCCTTGGATTGAGAGTACCAAGACAAAGCGAAGCAGAGAATATCTGAGACTCGTTTCACAAAGCTTTTTTTTTATCGATGACAAATAACAAAATTCAGTGACAAGTCTACTGATAACCAATGAGAAGCAAGGATTTCAGTAGCTTATAACAAAAACTGTCAATTGTCTGACTGATGACAAGTTTTGTGAAAAGCCCCCCTGAACTTACATCATAGTCGTTGCCATCATTCTGGCCAGCGCCTACATCTCTTCTTCGACCTCGTGCTCGACCTCGACCTCGTCCCTGCTGTCGCCCAGGCCTCGGTGGTGGATTAATCTGGTATGAGTTTAAAGAAAAATGCGAAAAAAACAATTTGTACAGTTTTGGAATGTTGACAAAAGAGCTATACTTCTTGTGTTGGTAGTAGTGGTCACTGCTAGAAGAGCAAAAGGGCAAATCTGTGCAATGTGTCATTCAATGCAAAACTTACATTTTCAAAATATGGGTGAGCCATCCTGCGTAGATCAACAAGATCATGATGTAGATTCCATATCATCTCCATGTTCGGTCTATGACGATCATGGGGGTGTCCTCTCGGGTCTGCCAAATCAGGGATGACCTCGTCCAGGCGATCATTAGAGCTACGCCGCCTATTCCCCCGTTGCCGGGTGGGACGCCCTCTCCGGGGCACGGGAGGAGGAGGGGAAGGCGGCGCAGGTGGCCTGTCGGGTCGGTCCAGGAGCGATGACGCAGGCTGGAAGTCGTAGTTCCAGTTGAAGCTGCCAATTTGGACGGGGACGTCAGAGGAGACCTCGATAGAGATGTTGTGATGCGGATTGAAAGTGCCAAAAGTACCAGCGTCTGGCTGGTCTGCACGACTGACATTGACGGAGCAGGACGCTGAAGAAAAATTATTTAAACATGAAAAGTTATTTATTTATTTAATTCTTATTTTTAAATCATGGATGATAGATCTTGTCACTGAAGTACCTCTTAGTACATGAATCAGCAAAACATACGGTAAACAGATTCCATAGATTTCTGAAAGGCCAAGTCAGGTTCAATACAAGGGACCCCTGTAACTGAGAATCAAGAGGACAAATTACATCTTCCCCAACTTCTATTTTTCCCATTTTTACATTAAAATAGTGATTTTATATTTTACAATATGTTGCCAATGTAGAGACTTTCATGACTTGACAAGTTACACAATAAATTGCTCCCAATACAAAATGTCAAACGAACTGCGACAGCAAAATTTTCTGACAGTTTTTTTTTAATTCTCTAACATGCCAACAGAGCCTTGGTCCGCCCACACTAATACCTTGCCACGCTGCCAGGCCAGTTTACTCAATTTGGACAATAATGTTGCGGAGTACCCGAGCCTATTTATAAGTACAGTCAAGTGAAACCATGCAAAACATGAAGTCGTACAAGTCAAATTTTCTCCAAGTCAACTAAATTTTAGGGCCAAACTATACAAAACAAGTGTTATTTACACTTCCTATTAAAGTAAAATTTTGCCTTTTTATATGCAGTCATAGCACATTTGACTTCTGCAAAGTAAACACTAGTTTAGTAGGATGACGGATAATCAACCTGATTACAACGTTGAGCCACTCCTACTACCCATCCTCTCCAACCGGCACTATAGTTCTCTTTAGAACTATAAGCTCAAGAAAGATTACCAACAGTCCTTTTCAGGACTACACACACACACACACGCTCAAGAAAGAAAGGTTATCAACGGTCCTTTTCAGGACTCCCCAATCCCCCCCCCCCCTCCACCCTCTCTCACATGGTGCAACCGTAAGCCTACTGTACATCTACATCATCATGCAAGCTGATAGAGTCAAACCTGCTTTAGTGACCACCTGTCTACAACAAGCAATATTTTTGTTTCCCTGGAAAATGGTTTCTCATTGAAACATGTACTAAAGGAACCTGTCTACAAAGACCAATATTATGTTTCCCTTGGGCGGTCGATGTAGACAGGTTTGACTGTACTTGTAAGCAGCATCTTAACTCAAGTTGATGTGCCTTACCCCTGGATTCTGCTTGAGGGTTGGTATCCTCTGTAGACCTTTGTGGTGGGCCATGCTGCTGAACAGACCTAGCCATCTCTGCATCAAATTCTTCCTGCAAAGGATTGATTGGAATAGAAAGAAGTGTAGTGCTGGTTATTTTACCTGACTGCTAAGAAAGCATAAGTGCTTGTTAGTAAGCAAGAAGAAGACAGACGGCTTTAGGTCCTCTCCGAGGGACCTGGTAATGAAGATTAATGCCTTACCAAAGGGCACTAGCGCATCGCCTTGGTTTGGAACCCGGGTCGTCTGCTCCTCTCCGAGGGACCTGGTAATGAAGATTAATGCCTTACCAAAGGGCACTAGCGCATCGCCTTGGTTTGGAACCCGGGTCGTCTGATTCGAGAGCACTGCTCTACCAACTGAGCTACAGTATCGCGCCTCCTCCAAATGAAAAAGACTATTATGATTCTTGTCATCACCAGACTCCATTTTCTTTACCATTCTCCGTTTTCCCTTTCAGATCAAAATTTAAACAGTAATAGGGTTTTTTTTTTTTAAAGGGGTAAGAGCAAAGAGAGTAGCAGAATTCTACCTCATTTAGGTTATCAATCTGAAATCTATGAATACAGACTAATAAAACTTATTACATCTATCAGAACACGGTCGAGTAAGAATTAATACAGAACAGTGCAATTCAAAGGGGCAGAAGAGTTACACAGCACAGTGGTTTGGTTACTTTGTAATATTTCATCTCATGAAGAGAAACGCAAATCAGGAAACATTATCGATTGTGGCATTTTGGTGCGGTTCTGGGAGAGTATATCAAGATATACATGTAGAGGGCCACTTAAGAGTATATTAAACCTTTTAAGATAATATCAGGGGCATTCCTACCTGCATTCTTCTTGCCATTGCCTCATCTGAGTCCATCTGGTTCAGCTGCTGCAGGAGGGATGGTGAGACAATATTCCTCTCATCTTCAATGCTTCCTGCTGCTCCGCTACTCAAAAGGCCTGTGGACGAAGCTTTGGCCTCTTTCTTCTTATGACTCTTTCTCGTCTTACCGTAAGCTCCCACAAGGGAGGAAGCATAAGAGAAAGAATCGACCATCACAACTTCATCATCCGAATCATCCTTTACCATGTTCATAGTATCTCCAGAGATGCCACTCGACGAGGGAAGATCTGAAGCTTCAAGACTGTGATGTTTAGCGGAGGATCTCATGTGGTCTTCTCTACTTGCAGAGCCAGTGGGACTCTTTCCTTGTTTCTTTCCTTTCCCTTTGGAGTTCTTTGAGTGGACAGACTCATTGCTAGATCGATGACTAGACGAGGCTTCGTGGGACGGATTAGCATATGGTTTGGAGGACGTTGCTGTTGTAGGTGCGCTTCCGTGGTTTGAATACAAAAGAGACGAAGCTGTTGAAGAACTACCAATATGTGAAGCTGATGATGATGAATGATAACTGTCTTTCATTCTTCCTGAAGTATGAGTTCTTGTGCTAGACACATTATGTCCACCCGGTCGGAGATTCCTGGAGACATCTGAACTCTCGGTTCTGTCTAGACCTATACCCTGATAGTCATTTACCCTGCTCTGGATAGGTGATGTATCTTTGTCTTTGGAACGAACAGAACTTTCATGTCTTCTAGAACCCCCTGACCCCAAACCGTCATCTTGAGGACTATGCAAATTTGTTTTCCTCCTTTTGGCTGCTTCATCCATGAGCGCGATAGCCTCATCCTCATTCTTCCGCTTCTTATCGGCAAACGGATGAGCATCCTCATCTTCATCACTTGAAAAGACAGCAAGCAATTTCTTCAACTTATTCTTCTTTGCCTCTTGCATCGCTGCTCTTCTGGCCGCAACCCTGGCCTCCTTGATCTCTTCCTTTGTCCTAGTCCTACAACTGTTCCTTAAGGTACTTTCCTTGTTTTGTCTTTCCTCCTTCCAGGTTTCAGTCCTGGATGATATCACACTGCTTCCACCAGTCTGTGGCCTCCACGGAGATATAACAACACTTGATGGAGTGCTTGAATGGGAGGGTGAAACCCATGGCCTCTTTTTGGGAGGACTTAACCAAGCTCTTGATGGAGATGTCACCGGTGCATCATACTTACTTTTTGTAGAATCTGCTGGCGATTTATGATGAAAACCACTTTTGCTCTTGTTGGTAACAAGAGATATAAGAGGAAGATCATCATCTTCACTTGTTGCACTAGAACGCTGCTGATGCCTTCTACGGAAGTCTTTGTCAGGACTAGTTATTTTGTTTAGATAAGTAGTATCTCTTGGATATTTTCCATCTCTTCGTCTTCTGTGATCAAACTTCCTTGAGAAATCGGAAGAGCGCCTTTCTGGAGAAGATAAAGTTTCAGCAAAGTCCCACACTGGATCTCTTCCTCTGCCTACATTTTTCTCACTACTACCTTCCTGCTTTTCCAGCCTAAAGTCTTTGAACTTCCTTGTAGGACTGTGAAAAATGCTCTCTGATCTTGGGCTTGTATACCTTGAAGATGGAGAGCCAGGTGAAAAAAGGTGCTTACTACTGGTTGAGCTAGAATGCAAGTCCTTACTTGAGTTAAGGTCTCCTTCAGACAACAGATCATTCAACATAAAATTATCTCTGTGGCTCTTTTTTAAATGCACCTGTAAAGATTTCTTACATGTAGATCCACTGTTTTTCCCATCATGCTTTCTATCCCATTCAGGGGTGTCGAGAATCAAAACGGGACTTCTCATACTGAACACCGAGGATGATCTGTGACTGGGGCTTGAACTAGAGTGGGCCTGAAACTTGCTAGGACTGAACTGGCTACTGGTTCTTGGTTCTAATGAGGTAGATTTCATCTGTTTATTCTTGTCCCAATGTATATGAACGCTTGATCCTGTAGGACTGCGCTTTGGGCTACTTTGTCCTGAACGCCTCCCTGGAGAAAGAGGCGAGTTCAACAACTTTCTTGAACTTTCCGAAGGACTTGTTGGTAACTTCCTCCATCCTCCAGGACTACTAGAGAGGGCGCTGCTTGTCTCTACAGGCATCTGCTTTCTAGAGGTCTCTACTCTTTCTGTTGCAAATCGGCACGGGATTTCTGACTGTGTTTCAATATTGCCCTTTTTATCAAGATGTTCTAGCAGTCTAGAAGCCCCATTACCTGATGCCTGTTCAGTCTTGCCAAGCTGTTCCATTTCCGAAAAACGACACTTTGTGCTTTCCTGTCTTTCAGGGGTTCTGTGGCTGTGTGCTCTGACGTCACTGGATGTTCCCCTGTTGACACTAACTGTTGCCTTATAATCAGCAGACGTTGCAAAGGGATTACCTTCATCTATTGTCAGTTTCCCGGAGAAGGGTGGACTTAGTGGACCCCTTGAAATATTGCCAGTGACTTCCGACAGAGGACTGCCACGTTCACTAAATGCTAACCCATCTGCAGTCCCACTACTCCCTGAAGTTCTTGACCCTTTGTTCAACGTATCATGTGTGTTTTCAAAGAATGGCCTGGCATGGCTGGCAAACAACAATTCCTTTCCATCATGGCGTCTGTTGATTCGTTTGTAGAGTGGAGTATTGAAATCAAGCTCATCATCCGAGGTTGTGTCCATCATAGAAACATCATCCATCCTGAAGCGTTGGTTTGCCACACACTCACATCAGAGGGAATCTGAGATGTAAAGAAAAACAAGTTGTTGTGATGTTGTTTGTTTTGAGAGGCAAACTAGATCGAACTTCGACTGCGCGCAGTCGAAAATGATGCCTCCGCCAAAGAGCAATTTTACAAACCAAAACAGAAGATATTTTTTAAATTCAAGTTCAATTGTAATCCATTAACAGGTTCTCAGAATATCGTGATTACAAGCAATTTCTCATATACATATATGACCCTTTGATCTTTGACCTTATGACCCTAAAATCTACTCAGTTCATTGGCACTGCAAGATCTCCTGAGTTAAATAGTAATCCATCTGTCAGTTCTAATGAGAATGCGTTCACAAGCTATTTTTGCATACATAATGAGCCCATGACCTTTGACCTTTGAATTCATGACCCAAGAATCTACTCGGTTCATTGGCTCTGCAAGATACATACATGATCTAAGTTTGGCAGGAATCCATCAATCTGTTCTAATGATAATGCGATCACAAGCTATTTTTGCATACATAATGAGCTGCATGACCTTTGACCTTTGACCTCGTGACCCCAAAATCTCATCAGTTCATTGGCTCTGCATGATACATACATGACCACAGTCTGGCAGGAATCCATCAATCGGTTCTTCAGATAACCCGATCACGAGAACGGGACGTACGGACGTACGGACGGTACGATGGACGGACGGACAACCCGAAAATATAATGCCTCCGGCTACTTCGTAACGGAGGCATAAAAAAAGTTGATACATAATCAGCAGTTTTGGGGAAAAAAAATGCTTTTTACAATGTTTTTGTAGTATCAACTTGACTTGATCACATGAATTTTCAGGCTACTTTTGGCCCGCAATCTTGCGCAATTTGTTTGGTTCAGGAGCGTACTAACACACACGCACAGAGATTGCTGAATGTAGCAGATGCCCAGCATGTGTCTTTTTACACTAATCGCTATTATCATAAAGTAAGTAACAAATTGGCAATGTGAAAACACCATGTGTATTTGCATTTTCAGGCAGAACAAACACCTCTAACTCTTGTGAGATCAGCTTTTTTGAAAGGTAAATTGCTTGTTAGCTCATTATTATCAGGAACATGTGGACGGTACCTGTAAGCAAAGCGCTCTCACCATGGTATCAAATTTTCATATTTTTGTTTAATTCTTGACTAATTTCCAAGTGCTTTGTAGACGTGGTACCGGTATTAGATAGAAGAATCTCTAGCTAGTCTTCTAGCAAACTATGCAGGTAGTCTACAGGGTTTGTTGAGTGTGGGAATGGGCGACAAATCTGTCTTTGCGTTGCCGATTTGATACTTACTTTACGATAATAGCAATTAGTATAGTATATGAAGGGCATGCACGGAGTTCCCTGAATTCTCTGCCCCAGCGCCTTTTTGCATTGATTGCTATTAGTATTATCGTAAATACTTCACTGTTTCAAAATCACCCTTAAATTATTTTTTGCAGCAAAATTTGATATGAGGTCTGCGAGTGTTTCCCATTCCTTTTTGAGTCCATGTAATTTTGCGTGCAGTGGATCTGCCGCTGGCGCATTAGCCTCATTGGCAAACTGACATCCCGCTAGCTGAACGCTCTAGACGGTTCTTGTTCCGCAGAGAGTGTGGCGGAAGATGTGTTTGCGAGGTCGAGGTGCGATTTCGGTTTTGAGAATGCACATTACTCACACGTGTGCGCCATCATCTGTCCAATGAAAATTGAGAATGTGGAAAGTAGACCTGTACGATTTTTTGTAAAAATATCTGGCTAGTTTTCCTTCTATTCCTTCAGTTGTAGACTAGGGTAGCGCGCCCAGTATTCGGCCATTCCAAGTATTCGGTCAGACGGCCGTTTCAACAGCTGTAACAATTTAAAAAATAATTAATGAGCCGCGAAACAAATCAGGCAGCTGAACAACTTTTCTTAACTCTCAAAACTAAATCAGATATAGGGCCCCGGAAAGATCTCCAACTTAGCTCAAAATTGGTCAGTGTCGCACAACTTTCTGCACTTCCGTGTCTATTGCGAAACAACTACGTGTGCTGTCGCAATGAGTTTATTATGTGTGTGAAGAGGAGCTCTTCCATGTTCGCTCCATCGCAGCATATTTGCAAATGACGCACTTGCCGATGTGCAAGAGGGATTTATACGATACCCTTGCCATGCGGTATGGCTCGTCCAGTATTCGGTCAACGCATTGACAATCAGTGCTTTATTGCGCAATTGTGTGAAAATAGTGCGCAAATACGCTTTGCTCCTTGGCAACGGAGATACCACGCACAAATCGCGTGACCGAATTCTAATCGGCGCGACCGAATTCTGGGCAGAAAAATGCTCCGTCTTCTTTCAGAGATATTTTTCTTATCATTATTCTTTATTTTAAGTGACTATAAAATCCTGTTAGAGGAAAAAATTTCTTTTCTTTTGATGGGTAGATTGTACAATAAAAGAGGTAAGAATTCAAAATATTAGTGATTTCCCCTTAAGTGACCGAATACTGGGCACTCTACCCTACAGCTCCTAACAAAAAAAACTTTTTCAAAATTGCTCCCGACGCGATGACTGTCCGACATGTTTTTCAAGTCATTTTTGTTTTGTTTGGGTTTTTTTGTTAATAAATGTGCCTAGCCACTATCAATCTTGTACTTTTTTCAATGGCTAGTGCTATTTGATAATTTCATTGATGAGAAATAAAAAGTAGTGTTAATAATTTACAGATCCCTCAACGGCTACGGCCTACGCTCTACCTTCATGACCTTACATCAATTGACATGTATGGGACCTGGCTTAATGCAAAATTTGAAATAACTTGAACATAAAAATACGTGTGCAGAGAGGAATGTCTTTTAAAGCAAAACATTGGGATCTAAATGACTATGATAAATACTTACATTACAGATCAATGCTACCAGACATGATTCTAGCACGAAAAATGGTAGATTTTCTTCTGCTGACTCAATCAAAGGAAGGTATGACGAAGCTAAAGCGCATGCGCAGTTTATCTTCCGCGCGAGAAATCTTCAGTTCAGTGATTCCGTTGCATAATAACTTCGGCGGGGCGCGCATATTTTTTTTACACAACTGTTTAGCCATTTTCGCGAAAAAAATCCAAGAAGTGCTCTGGTAAAAGAGTCTAAGTCGTCAGCGCACTTAAATGTGCAAGCACGTACACCCAGTGAAGGGAAGATGATAGACAGGGGAAAAGAAGGATAGTGGAGAGGATATGGAGAAGGAAAAACAAGGAAATAAATAAGGAAAGAGAAGAGGATAAGTCAAATGAAGAACATATAAATATATAATTGAAGAGCTGAGAGGATCATAGATCTAGACTCTTGAAAAACAGGGAAATAAGAGAAGATAGGAGAAAGGGAATCTATCAGATTAAAACAAAGAAATAGATGACGAAGGAGAAAAGGATAGATTGAAGGAGAAACAAAGAAATACATTAAACAAAAGAGAAGAGGAATAAAGGAGAACAAAAGAAATACATAACGAAGGAAAACTGGGGGGTAGATTGAAGGAATTAAAACAAAGAATTATAACGAAGGAGAATAAGTGCAGATTGTAGGGGGGAAAAGAAATACATGACAAAAGAGAAGAGGATAGATTGAAGGAGAACACAGAAATACATAATGAAAGAGAAGAGAGGATAGATTTAACCCGAAACAAATAACGAGTATGTACACACTTGTACAGGGTACAGCTCCAGCAATCCAACAAAACTGCTAAGGGTAATGCTAGACTCTGTCTCTAGTCGTTTGCACGGTATATTTGACTGAAGTGGCTAAACAGTTGTGTAAAAAAAATATGCGCCGGCGGCGGGGCACTCGCCCACAAAAAACATAAACAACAACCATGCACTAAATATAAGGGGGAGTTTTGGCCAAGAATTATGAAAATTCGACCCATACACTAAAACAAATTTCTAGTTTTGTCATATTCTGAAACTACATACTTTATTTGTCCGTATCCTAAAAAAAAATCAGCGTGAAAAAATTAAGAGAAAGCCATAAAATTAGCGGTTTTATTAATTAGAGCAAACTTTAAATGCGTGACCTTCAACAAAGAATCTAAGACAATTTATTTATTTTTATTTAAATTACTTCTTTTTTTTCATTGTAAAAATACGAACATTTTAATGGAAATATCAGTAGTTGAAAGTATGACAGAACTTCGATAATAGTTCAATTAAAGTTTTAAAAAACGTAACATTTATCGTTTATATTGTGTATATTGCTTGTATTGTGTCTCAGACAAATTGGGAAATGTGAGCTTATGTTTCTCCTTGTTTTTCTAGGAATCAGCTTTTTGATTGATTGTCCGAATTCCAAATAGGATAACTCAAGAGTGGGATGTCTAATTCTGTTCAAACCTTGCATGTTTGTTGATGATATGCCCCCCCCCCCCCCACTCAGTGTTACTTAAGGTACGCGTATGCTTGTTCCCTCTTTTTGAAAGCACCCCCTATCTGAGGACTGCCAACATTTCCGAACCCCCCTTTCGCGGGCTTTTCACAGGCTCGTTTCCTGCTTTGGAGACCCCACCTAAATTCGGAAAAATATTCAATGTACGCCCCCTAAATTCGGAATAATTTCTCAGGAGTCCAAAGAGATGAGAGAAAAAAGAAAAAACACCCCCGGGTGAAAAGTTAATACACCCCCTTCTTTTACAATTCTCGGGCCGGACTTTGTCGCACAAAAATTACCCCTTTACAGGACATTTTGGTAACACGCATTGCCAATAATTTAGAATGCATGAAAAACTTTCTTCGTTCTTCTTCCATTTTTTTCTTCTTCTTCTTCTTCTTCTTCTTCTTCTTCTTCTTCTTTTTCTTCTTTTTTTTTTCTTCTTCTTCTTTTTCTCTTATTATACTTCCTTCTCCTCCTTTTCTTTTTATCAAATTCTTTTAGAATAATATTCATCTCTGTTTCTTCTTCAAGTTCTTCTTCTTCTTCTTTTTCCTCTTCTTCGTCTTCTTCTTCTCCATTGTCTTTTTCTTCTTCTTCTTCTTCTTCTTCTTCTTTTTCTTCTTCTTCTTCTTCTTCTTCTTCTTCTTTTTCTTCTTCTTCTTCTTCTTCTTCTTTTTCTCTTTCTTTTACTTCCTCCTCCTCCTTTTCTTCTTATCAAATTCTTTTAGAATAATATTCATTTCTGTTTCTTCTTCAAGTTCTTCTTCTTCTTCTTTTTCCTCTTCTTCGTCTTCTTCTTCTCCATCGTCTTCTTCTTCTTCTTCTTCTTCTTTTTCTTCTTCTTCTTCTTCTTCTTCTTCTTCTTCTTCTTCTTCTTCTTCTTCTTCTTCTTCTTTTTCTTCTTTTTCTTCTTCTGCTATAATACTTCCTCCGCCTCCTCTTCTTTTTTATCAATTAATTTTAGAATAATATTCGTTTCTGTTTCTTCTTCTTCTTCTTCTACTGCTTCTTCTTTTTCTTCTTCTTCTTTTTCTTCTTCCCTTTCCACCACCTCCTCCTCCTCCTCCTTTTCTTCTTTGTCTATTTTTCTTAGAATAATAGTCGTTTTTGTTTGATATTTTGCTATCATTAGCCTGATTTGCTCGTATTTGAATCGGACCTTGATGAAATGACCTAAAGCTTGAAAATCATCTTGATTAGAAATTTGGAACTCTAAAATAATAAAGGAAGCATAAAGAGTTGCAGTATATTTTTATTACTTCTTTTTAGGACATGATTGTGACAATATTATTTTATTCTTGATAGATTGAAGTTGATATCTTCTCAGAACTTTCAGCAATTTCTTTGAATCTTTAGATTGATAAAACAACGTTCTGAGAAGATACAAACTTTATCCATCAACTATAAATCATAATATTCTCACAAACATTTCATGAAAAGAGGTACATAATACACAAAATAGAGTAGTAACAAAAAAACGAGGAAAATGATAGTCTGGCTGGGCAGAAGCCCTAGTAACGCACGCCTTTATGAAGCTACTGCAATTAAACAAATTTAAAGTGAGATTATCGAATAAAAGTTTCTAAGATATAACACGGCCTATATACTAAGCCCCAAGTGATACCTTTGCGAACGCTAACAATAATTGTTTTGTTTGTTATGCATGTACTTTTTATTTCTTTATAACATTTAAGAACAAAATACAGGGATTGGATGGAGGACTCTTTTTTAATGGGATGGTGTTCCTACTTCCCAGATACCAAGTCAGGGAGAGGAGGTGGGGGTGTCTCTCCTTTTTTCTTTTTTTACTTCTTCTTCTTCTTCTTCTTCCTCCTCCTGCTCTTCATTTATTTACCTTTCTTTGAATTTGTCTTCTTCTTCCTTAATCTACCTTCTCCTCCTTGTCTTTTCTTTCCCTTTCATCCTCTTCTTCTTTCTTCTTCTTCATAATATATTCTTTTCTTAACCTGACTTATTTGATACAGACTTTGAATCACCCTTAAATCCTATTTAATCCCTCCTTAGATAAGTTTCTTTTTGAAAGGCCCCTTTTTAATATTTATTTCTTCAATAACTGAATTTGAGTTCTCCCAACCAATGTCTGATTTATACCAATAGATGGCGTGTGTCAAATAACTCCGGAAAACGACTGGAATTTCGCGTTATTTTCGAAACGAAAACCGTCGTCGGCAAGGGTTCTTTGGCCGGTTCATCACAAAATTCCAAGCAAATTTTACGATGTCATTTGAGTATCTGACAAGCCCCCAAAATCAAGGCTTGAATCGACACAGGAGTCAATCGACTGAACCGTTATTGTGGGAAATGTTAAGAATTTTTGCCATTGTCGAAGTGCCACATCTCTGTCGCAGATTGATGATTCACTCATCCTCATCATCATTATGCTCGCGATCGCACGTCTCGGCTATCAACAAGTTCGAGATGAGAGTGTTAGCATTTGAAACAGTTTGCATGTGAAACACAACGAACTCCCACTCCCAACTTATTAAGTTATTTGATTGATGCCGCTAATTGGGAAAATGTCAGCGCTCACGACTTGAACTGTTATAATGCCTGTGACAACAATACTCAACAATTATGACTTCGAGGAATAAATTTGGTCATTTTTGCGGCCGTCGCCAGTCGGCATTGCTGTCAACATGGATGTTGATTTTATTTCTAGCTGGAATGGCTTCTTATACGGTAGGCCAGCAGTCATCCACCCCAGAGCTTGGGCCATCCAGCACCGTAGCGGTGACCTCAGAGCCGCTGAATTTTTCGGGTAAGACTTCTGTTTGACTGCCTAGACTAGATAGAGAATCAAATGATATTTTTAATACTTTCTAATGTTCATCAATCATGATACATACCGTTTCTATATAATTTGCTTTGCATTACATTCAACATGTAACTAGTAGGCTAGACTATTAATGTTTTGTTTATTTAGAGTCTACTTTTGTAGTCTATCTATTGACTTTTTTAGAGGGGGGGGGGGGGGGATTCATGAAACGTTAATTTGTTTGAATTCTTATTGATATTATGATTTATGGGAAGGGCTCAGGAGGGAGGGAGTGTCATCATGGCGCAAAAGTCAGTTACCTCTTGTATTCAAGAGAATGCTGACTTTAATGAATGATTATTGTGATGATTGTATAATTCTCTTGGATAACAGCATCATCAAAAACAAAGAAATTGTGCTCCATCTCAACACCTTTTCCATTATGAAGTCCTCTATTTGTTAAGCCATTGAAAGAAATAGATAAATATCATAACACTATAGCATTCCAATTTCCAAAATCATAGATACGATACCATAATAATAATGATAATATGGGCACTTGTAATTGTATACCGGTAGCTACATGTACAGGTACATGTACTAATGCTATATGAATAGACTCTACTGCGCTTTAGTACAAAGTATCATGCCATTATAAGGCGCTAAAGCATTCCAAGGAATTTCTTCCTATCGGGTACCCATTTACATCACCTGGGTGGAGAGTGTGCCGCGATGTGGCTCAAACCACGAGGCCCGAACCATGTGAATCACTAGACGGTAGACCATCCTCTACGTCTCTGTGATCAACTTATTTTTGCAATGACTGGAGGGGTGACTA